GGATAGCCCGAGCTAGTGTTGTCAAACACGGTTTGTCCTCGCTCCGGGTAAGAAGTTGTACGCACGAATGACAAATATTTTGAAGGTGTTTCCGCGTAGTAAACGATGGCGTATCTCGACAACAAACCCGAGGCCATTCAGCGTTACTTCCTGCCGCGATTTTGCGCCTTTGAAAGGGTCTCGGAGGAATCTGCCGCGGAATCGTCGACGAACCACGTCACCGACGAATCCGACGATAGAGAGACGCGAAACGGAGAAACATGCACAACGGGTTCGGTTGGATATGGAAGTAGAGAATCGAAAATGGTGTTTCCCTTACCTTTCCAACTTCTCAGCAACCCTCGGTGTGCCGTTCCTTTCCTCCTTGCCAGATATCCGTTCGTGGTGTTCCGTATATTCGGCTAACAGCGTCGCAGCTTTTCCCGAACACGATGTCAGGGTCTGCCAGTTGTCCGTGTTGGTCGTGGCGCGTAGAGTCACTCGCGAATTCGCAACCCCGTACGGCGAATTGCGTGTCGCGCCGAAGGCGTGTCTCGCGCGAATGCAACTCGGTTCGATGTTCCGTGGACGAGGAGAGCACACGTCACCGATAACGACCGGTCACGGGCGAAGGATCGGCAAATTCGCGGCGTATACTCGCGGTCGACTGTGGCCGGGATCGAAGGCGAAACGCGACCAGCCGCGAGATACGCGATGGGAAACTGGATCTCGCGCGGATGTTGCCGGCAGCGACGGATCGGCAGACGCGAGAAATCGTTCCGTGAAACTCACTTGGGGTCACGGGCCCGTGTATCTCGCGCAAGAGCCACGATATCTCGGATACTCTCTCGGCGGCGGACTTCTCTCTCTCTCGGCGACGACGATACACGGCGGTGGCGGCGGCGGCGGTGACGACGGACGACGCCGTTGCTTCCTGGTACCGCCACTCGATAGCGCTGCCTTCGTCCTCCCGACTCGTCCTCCTACCTTCTCCCTTCTAGTCCCCACCACAGCTTCCTTCGTCGAACCAGCCTCTACCACAGCCACGGAACACACGCGCGAACTGCCGGTGCTCGGTGTGTCACGGTGCGTGTATCGCGTCCCCAGGATATTCCCGTGATGCCCGTGAATTCGCTGGCTAACGGAGGAGACGAGAAGAGAGAGAGAGAGAGAGAGAGAGAGAGAGAGAGAGCAAACTCCTCGCTTATTCTTCTTCGACTCTTCGCGCCCCTCGTGCCCTACCCTTACCGCGTTATATTTCCCTTTCTCGATCCAGCCACGACGCGATGGAACACACACGAAGATACTAGGCAGCGACGCGTCCGAGAAGGAAAGAAAACCTCCAACCTCGCATAGAACCTCTCCTACCTTTTCTCATCGCCTTCCCCACCAAGTCCGTGACCAACCTCTACCTCGATGGACACACGCGTACGCCCGATCATCCGACGCCGCGCTCTCTTTCTCGCGTCCACGCCGACGCGATATTACGTGCGACGAGTCTCCTCGTCGGCCGTAACGGGGATGACAGGGGGTGGCAGCGGGTGGCAGGGAGGCAGAGAGAAAGAATTAACAGAGGTGTGTGCAGACTCGTGGCCCGTCCTCCTGCTCGCTCGCTCACCCCTCTCCGACCTTCGATCCACCGCGATTTAGTCCGATGCCGAACACTCGCCGAGAATTTTTACGGTGACATTACGCGTCCCCGTAACGAGCTGCGATCCGAGTCTCTCGTCTTCTCCTATTTACGCGGAATTTCGCGAATTCGGCCGGGAAACTCGGCCGAGGGAACTTGCTATACTTTCCGCACTCTCGGACCTCGTCCGGTACAACTTCACCCTCCGTATATAGAGGTATACTCCTGTTACCCTCTCGTCTCTCTTTCTACCGCATCGGAGCATCGAGCGACCGCGACGACACTCGTCTCTCTCGTCTCGGCAAGAAAAGTCATATATTTTCGCGTAGCTCGATAAGAGGGAGAAAGAGGGAGAAGCGATACCTTGGCAGCCACCTCCTCCTACTTTCCTTCGCTCCCCACCATCGTCGAGATAGCTCTACCTTCGAAATCCAGCCAAGCACACGACCCGAAGCGTCCGGACTTCACGAACCGCGACGAACCGACTGATCAGCACCGCGCCCAGCTATCCAACGAGTATCACGCGTGAATATATCCTCGCAACGTTCACGGCCAACGTTCTCGCCTGTCCCCAAATTCGGAAAAATTTCGGGAAATACTGAGCGAGCGGCGGGTACTCGCGCGGCTACTCGCCTCGTTCCTCTCGCGCCCCACCACTCTGTGCTCCGCGTATTTCGCCTCTACGCGACACACTCGCGCAGCATCCTTCCTCGGGACACCCACACGCGCGCGCGAAGGTCACGGTGTGCAGTGAAAGACAAAGACGGGGAATAAACGCGCAGCCTCCGCATGGACCAAAATGGCCGGTGACGAGCGGACCGATTGGCGGGACGGGAGCAGTAGGGGCGTGGTGAGCGTACGCCACGTACCTTCCAACCGGTCGACGATAAAAATAAACATCTCGGCGGCGAGGTGGGGACCAGAGTGGAGGGGGATCGAAGAGAAATAGCGAGCAGGGGGGTTGGCGGAAAAGGGAGAACGAGAGTGCAGGGTGCACGTTGCATTCGTTACGCGTTGTCGTGGGGCGAACGTCGCTGGCGGGGTAAGGATGAGGTGAGTAGGGGAAAGAACTTTTTTATAGATCCCCTCTGTCCTCGTCCCTCCAGCTTCCCCTCTCTCTCTCTTCGTCTCTCATTCGTCCGTTCCCTCCGTTTCTCCGCGCTTTCTCCCTACACCCGCAGTCCTCGTGTCCGTGAGAACGTATGTGTCGCGCGAAATCTACCGTGGACAGCGTAACGCGCGCGTGTGTGTTACGCTCGCACACGATCGCACGGCAACCGTGAATGCGAAACGGTACGAGTACGTTCGTGCGTGTCACGCGAGCGCGCGTGTAGCTCGGTGATCGTCATTAAGAGAGATGCTAATTGGAGGTAAAACGCGGTCGGCCCGACAGCTCGGGCATATATATACATATATATATATGTGTGTGTGTACGCGTACCGTCCGAGGATCGCGAGCAATATTTTTCCCATTCCTCTTCCTTTCTGTTTCCTTCTCGCAGCTTCGCTCCTCTCGCGGTTACTCGCGCCGACAGCTAGCGCCAGATGGATCGCAAGAAGCGTGCGAAAGCACGGGGGACCAAGGACGAAAATTTCCTCGTCGATATTGATTTTCCTCTTCCCGTTTCCGTTTTCCCCGGCAGAGGAGGAAAAATCTAAACGCTGCCTGGCCTGACCCGCATGAAAATCGCGAGATTCCGTGCGGCCCTCGTGCACTTCCTGTTTCCGCACGAGCTCCACTTAACTCGGCGTATAATTTTCTGCCCCGGCTAACCCATTTTCCGCGCACCCGACCTGGCCGAGGCACGGGTAATTTTATTCGAATACGTTCGTTCCACGGTTCACGAGTGGAAGCATAGCGCGTTCGATGGAGTATCTCCGCGTGACGATATTCCTTCTGGCGGGTGTCGGCCTCGTGGACATGGCCAGACGACCGTTGTTGTTTGTTTGTGTATACTGCGAGCACCCGGGGTGCGGCTGGTTGCATTGGTACAGTGAAAAGGGAAAGGGGAGGTAGATGGGTATATCGTGTTCCATTCTATGGCTAGGAACGTACGGTGTGTGCGGTTGGGGCACGACGTTCCAGCCTGAAAATTGAATGTCAGCCAAGAAAGAGATGTCACAATATTCCGCGTGTCTGTGCTACCCGGCCTGGTGCTTTCCACGTCCTCTCTGTCCCTCTGCCATCGGCTTTGCTCGTTGCTTGTTTTCGAGAATACGAGAAGAGAGGCCGTGGAGAGCAGCGAGTATCGGGGATTCGTTTTCATAGGGTGTGTTTACTCGCTGGATGCCGAGCAGGGAGGGTGGTGGTAGGAGTCACCCCGCGTAACGCGGCAAAGAAAATAAAGACGCGGCTAATATACGCGAGTGCCGGTGACGTTTAGGGGGCTAGAGAACGCTAATGCCGCAGGAGATATCGTTGCGCGCAACGGGAATTATATCATCGAGTTAGCGTAACCCTTCTCCTAAATAGCGCGTAATATTAGCATTTTATGGATCCATAAATTCCGCCGTTCCTCCGCGACCTCCCAATCTGCTGTCCTCCGAGTTGACGCGTAAATCAAGCATCGTCTCCGTTGACCGAGGAATCCTTTCGGCATCTGCGCAGCCCGTTGGCTGCGTCTTTTCTGAAAAAGCGTGTCCTGCCAGGACACGAGGTTACCGCCGTAATCCGACGTCCGAATGTTTGACAGAATAATTTTCACGTTAGCAGGGTGCATTATGCTCCTTTATGCTCGCGCCTGGCCCTACGCATTGTCGCCGAAATAAGCCGTATCCCACACCGTACGGCCCCCTCAGCTTTTATGCGCTTTTGCACGTATACCGTGACCTCACAAAAACCAGGGAACCCCGTTATATAGTTACACTCGATGAGACACGGAGAAAGAGCGAGCAAGAAGGAGAGATTAGAGAACCTAAGCCAAACCTCCGTTCCTGCCTTCCTACGTGTGCTTCTTCGATACTCTTTCTCTTTATTTCTTCCATATTTTCTCGCTCGCTCCCCTCCGTGTCTGCTCGTTAGGCTAATTAACGAAAGAGAAAATGAAAAAAACGCGAGGTAGTTGTTGCAATGCCTGTTTTAATGAATCGGCATTGCCGTTCTACGCAGAGGGGAGCAATTACTTCGCGTGTTTTCGCTGACGATTAAGATCGAGATCGGGCGCTTTTAATAGCAAAGAGTCGATCAGCGATGGGAAGACCGCGGCGAGATCGTGCCTCTGTCACGCGACACGAAATCAGGCAGAATGTGTCAAAAATCTGTCACCCGACCACAATGGGCTGACCTCTCCCTCGAAGATTTTACCTACGCGATGAAATCGGACCGGTGGGGAAGAAGGACGGAGAGCGGCAGAACACCTTTCAGTCCAATAAAATAAAATGGTTCGGTGGAATGTGGTCTCCGGTTCGATACAGAAGTGCCGTTTCTACGTCAGCCGTGTAACGTCCCTGCGAGCCTTCTCTCCGAGAAATCGTCTCTGTCCGCCGACCGGAGCTCCTCTCAAAGCCAAGGATAATATCTCGAATCCTTGATAAGGGTTACTTCCTTCGTTCACTTTCACTCTGGAATTTTAACGCGCCACGCTATTTTTATCTCTCCTCTCTTCTCCTCTCCGCATCGTCGCGACGTGATTCTTCGAAAATCGAATTACACAGCATTTTTGTTATTTCTGCTTCCTCTTCTCGGTACGATTCGACGCAACGAACGTAACGCGAATGGTCGTACAAACACGTTGACACTTGGTAACAACGCGACAGCGTAGAAAGCTGCGTTAGTTACACGTTTAGCTCGGTGAACCGTGGCCGATAACGCTGCGCGGTGAAAACGTCAACTGGTACGCGTCTTTTGTGCGTTATTTTCATATATCTTCGTGGCGGATTTTTCGCAGCAACTGTAATGTCTTCTCCATTGTCACCGGCCACGCTAAGCCACTCGACGATAAATCGCGCGCAATTTTTCAAAGCGTATATCGCCTAACTCGCGACTCGCCGTTTGTAAAACGATCAAACGTTCGCAATGAAACGGCTAATGCCGTATCGAACGGACCCTGGGTTTGACGAAAGTATTATAGAAACGAGCGATAACTTTCCCGCGGAGCATTGTTTGCTTCGCTCCAAGTGAATCGCGTGCCTTCTGAATTTCGCCTGTGCAGACACGTGCAACCGTGGTCGTGCACGCTTCACGATCGGTCTTTCGCGGATTTTCGGCACCGACTCGACCAATGACTGGACAAAAAACACCCTCCGCATTTCCATTCGTCCTAATCCGATAGGCATCGTTCCTCCAGATGTTTAGACGAGTTGTTTGTATCGAGATGCGTGGGACAGATATATAATCTAGTCAATTTGACACCCTCATCGAGGGCCTAATGGGTGCTTTCAACCCGGGACGAGCCAGTTATGTAGAGCTTTCTTCTGACAAATGGTCCACCTTTTCGACTGTGCTCCGATATTTATCGCTCGGAGATTCGTTTGTCTTTAACGGCTCCGAGTTTTTACTAAAAAGAAGCTTTTATTTCATTCTAACGTACGGATTTAATCGGCGTTTACATCGCTTTACGAGCGTATGGTGTCGGTAGAACACCGAGTGCCGGAGAGGAGTAAGGCGAGTTACGTTCGCCTCACGAGTTCAGCTTTTCCTTCTCCGGGTTCGACACCAACGTGTTCGGAATCGAGTGCATCGGGACGTCGGTGTACTTTTCCGGCGGCAAGAATCTGAAAGGATCGAGTGCTTAAAATTCGAGGGGAACCCAAGACGAACGTGCCGTCGTACCTCTGAATAATCGGTGGAAAGTGATTCCTGTTGATGGTCCTCAAATCGTTGGCTCCGAAGATGAAACTGACTATCGTTCCTATTACCATCACGATCACAAAGCCGACCAACGCGTAATACATGAACGATATCGTGAAGAGCACGAACGGTTTGTCGTCGTCGTCACTCGGCGGGGAATAACCCGTTCCCGTGGTTGTTTTATTAACCGAAACGCCCACGTTCAAACAATCCTCGTTGGACGTAGGAAGAGGCGGATAGTTCAATTTGTTTTGGGCCATGCTCACTTGAGCGCCAACGATGATCCATACCATGAAGAGCATGGAAAGTAATCCACCCGTGATTGCTCCCTTCGACGTAGCCCACGGTACTATCATTCCCAGGGTGAAAATTCCCAACATCGCGCCAGACGTGATACTATGCAGAGTGAGAGAAACTCGGAAAACGTCGCCTAAACGGTCTACGACGAAAACTAGCATCATGCAAACTAATCCTACGACAACCACGATGCCCTGCAAATCGTAACGTTGCTTATAACTCCTTTTGTTTAAACGGACAAGCAGAGATCACATTTTCCGTGTACCTTCATGATATTCGCCGCTCTGCTCTCTTTATTGCTGCAATCTGGCAGCCACGGATCAATGAAATCCTCGTAAATCGTGCCGGCCACTGTGTTCAAATTAGCGCTCATCGTGGAGAGGCCAGCGCTAACAAGACCGGCCAAGAAAAGACCAGGAAGTCCCGGGACGTTCGCCGCGACGTCTAACACGTAATACGGAAGTAATTGGTCGCTCCTGGAAATAATCTGAAAATCATTCGATCCGTTAAAATTGCTGGAAAGCAACGAACGCGATTAATTTCGACGAGCTCGTATATCAAACAGCGGGGGAAAAAGAAAGGGAGGAAAAATACGAGAGAGAGAGTATACGTACCTTTGTACTTATGGGATCGCAGCTGTGATACCTGGTATACATTATGAGGCCGGTAAAGACGGACACCCATTTCATGATGACCATACACAGGCCCATAAACGCTATTGCTCTGCGATAGGAAATTCGTTGATTACAAAATCCTCCGATTCATCTGATCTTCGGTTTTACTCACTTGTGGGCTTCTCTGATGTTCGGTACTGCCAGAAATCTCTGCATAGACACTTGGCTGATGCCGAGTCCCGACAGCCACGTCGTCGTCATCCCGATCGACATGCCCCAGAAGGAGTTCCTGATGAACGGGCTGGGATCCATGCTACGAGGATAAACGGCAAATGAGAAACGTTTTCTCTCGAAGAGCGAATAGTTAGGTTCGTACTTCCAAAATATTATTCTGCCACCCTCCTCCGACACTCTCCAAGTCTCGAACACACCGCCCACGGCTATGGTGCCCAAAATGAACACGGCAAACAGACTTCCCAGCGTCACGGTCATTTGGATGGTGTCCGCCCATACAACGGCTTTCAAGCCTCCCTGAACGTTTCGAAAAAGAGATTTATTTTCAAAACAGACCCATCGATACACATCCTCCGTCGTGTACAATGAAAACGACCGCACGAAACGGTTTCACGCTTGTACCGCGAGACGTGTGCGCCACCTGTGTTTTTCGTCTTCCCAGCTGAGATTGTTTACCTGAGATTCCTATGTTTCGCGCGTAATCTTTTTAGTTATCAGTCTAACGAGATACTACGAGCACGTCAGGAGCACGGTAGACTAGATACTGGCTAAAAATTCATCCACTTGTTACGCGATAACGAGTTATACATTGTGGGCATTGTTTGTAAATATCGCGTTATTATCCGCGTTTCCTTAATTATCCTCGATTCCTCTCGAGTCTATTTCGCTATTTAGTTGCTCGTCAAAGGTCAGTCCAAGGTTATTTCACGGTCATTCGACGATACTTCGAGGTCACCTAAGGCGAATTCAAGGCCATTTAACGGTTCTCCGAGGTGGAAGTCTAGGTTTACCGATTATTCCACGATATTCGGGATCGACGAGTACAAGGGATCCATGTTCCGTTGATATCGAGTATTCGTGATTACGATGAAGTACGGTGAAGCTCGAGGCAACGACCAAACGACCGTGACCCGATCGAGAAATTTTCGATATAACCGGTGCTTAATTAATGGAGAGGGACGTAAGTAACTTACTATAGTCGTGTAGAATATGCACACGATGCAGATCACCGGCGTGATCAGGTAAATATTGATCGCTGTCGCCTGCGAAAATGCTAGGGCCGGCACGTAGATGATCAAGGGGACGTATATGACCAGAGAAAGCGAGTAAAGAAACGAGGCAAACAGCCGGACTGGCCTGGTGAATCTCATCTCCAGGTATTCGAAGGTACTGGTCAATTGTAATTGATAAAATACGGGCACGTAGATAAGCGAGATGAGGCCACACGATATGGTCGCTGTAAAAATGCAGACAGCGTACTGTGTACCATACTGATACACCTCGACCGGTATAGCGAGCAGAGAGACCGCAGATATGTGGCTGAAATAAATGGAAAAAAAAGAAAAGAATGAAGAATTTATGAAGAATTTGTGGCATCGACGTCGATCAACCCGTTAGAAAACGAAGAAGAAATATTCTCTACGTTTTACCTGGCAATTAAGCTCATGCTCACTGGAAAACAGGACATTGTTTTTCCTCCGAGTAAATATTCAGTGGTATTATCCTGTTTCTTGCTGAAACAGCCAAAATAAATCCCTATGAGGACACTGATCCCCAAGAGACCGCTGAACAAGGAGTAATCGGTCCATCCGAATGTAAGTTCCCTCAGTTCTTGTCCGCCCAGTGTTGTTTCGTTCTCCGCCATTCTAAAACAAATCGGCGAAATTGAAATTGAATAATTAACCCTTTGCACTCGGCGATCTTTACAGAAACATAGTAATCCGAAGACTTTCTGCCGTAAAATCGACGATATTTTCGAAACGGTAAATAAGAAGAATTATTTTACCTCGATATTCCACGCGTCGTTAGGCAATTTTAAATTCGAGATATCAATTAACGACGATCTTTAGAATCTGATTAAATGGCGACTGAGAATCGCCTCTCGAGTGCAAAGGGTTAAATCACACTGCTAGATACGTCCCGATAGTATGTTGCTTATCGTAGTTCGCCATTCGAATTACCCGTTCGGTAGCCATTACGGCTAGCAAAAAATTCTCTTAAAATCTAATATTTGCCACACTCACGTCTCGGTCTTCTATTTGCGTTGCTCGTTATCAACTAGCGAATTCATCGATACTTAAATCAATAGCTGAGATTTAGCTGGTAATCCGGGGGATTTTTCGGATGCGTCGATCAATAATCGATGTATAAATATGGAACACCGTGATTCTGTAAAAGCTCGGAAAAGTACCCGATGAGAGCTACATTCCTACTAATAATGATAAGGTACAGCTCCATGCTATATGTTTAACTGATTTTGCACGAACATCATTCTAATTTACGATGGGTAGATAAAGTTCCGTCTTTCGCAATGTTCTGTAAATAGTTTGGTATCCTTATGGTCTCTGGGTCGAACCTTGAGTTATTCCGTAACCGATATCGTTCTCGTCTTGTTTGCTAAAAATCTGGAAGAATTTTCGTCGGTCATATATCCTTCGCGCTAAGGCAGAAATGGCGACGGATGTTGCGTCGAAAAGCTGGATCCTGTCAATACGGATAGAACGTTGTACTCGCGAATAGAAAAGATACGGAAATACGAGTAATAAATCCCTTGGACGTTAAACAAATATCGTTTGTTTCTAGAACGATTTAGTTTATTCGAACGAAATCTTACACACGTATCGATATAATATCGCGTAAGGAAATGACGTCAGGAATGGTTTATAAGAATGTGCATATATTTTTCTCTTCGTCGTATAATTTACAACGTTGAATCTTTTTAAGATATTCCATATAACAAGCATTCTGTTAACTCTTGTATTTTTTGCTGCCTTTCCGCATCGGTACAGTTTCCTAGTAGATTGTCTAAAATTTTCTTTTCCTCGGAATCGAGTTCCTCGATTGGATTGAAAGGCTTAGTAACCATACTTGGAAGTATCACGTCGTAATAAAGAAAAATCTGTAAATATTGGTACTTGTAATTTTATCGATTTCCTTACGCTTTACGAACGAGTGATAAAGGTTACCTTATTGTTAAAACTGTTATACACGAGACAGGGTGTCGGAAATCCGGGGGTAACGTTATAATCACCAGTACAGAATGCTCTAACTGGTTCTTCGAATTGAAAACGTACGCTGTTACGTTGTTGATCTAAAATATACGTTTGTCCATCCCAGGCACAGGCTACTATCTCATCAGAACCGTCACCAGTTACATCTAAGCGACACAAAGCGAATATCTGATGATCTACTTGCATCGACCTGAAAATATTCTGCAACTTATATACTGCTATTAAATAATTACGATTTCGAGGCTTACCATAAAATTACTTCATCTTTAACTAACATTATTGTCCCGTCTAAGGTAGCAAGAGCATAGGGTTTTCCTTGTAACGAATTCGTTCGTACACTCGCCTCGGTTTCAGTTTTACCTTTCCTTTTTAGATCTTCAGCGTTGCTATTATCGCTACTATCTTGGTACGAAAAATGCTTGTATGCGGGCAATAAAGAATCTTTCTCCGATTTGACATCGTAATCACCGAGTATCACATTGCCTCCCAAAATATTACCGTCCACCTGATCTCGACTAGAAGAATCGATAGTTTCGGAAGTTTTATTTACTTTAAAATTTTCTACCGTTGAACTTCTCCTACGTTCTTCCATGGTACCAAAGCTATTTTTTCTTACTTCTGATTGCGAATTATTTTTCTTAAGTTCTAACGAGACAGGTTTAAAGTTTTTACCATGTTGAGTTTCATTTAGAACGTTCGATTTAAGTAATGTCTCTTTCAATTCGTAATTCGACACCTTACTCTCTACTATACACTCCAAGTCTCCTATGATTTCTGTCGAGATATTCTGATTGCGCATTCTGGATATTCCCAATGTTTGATAGTCTACGCAACTCGCTGCTGTTTCGTTACCTTTGTACTGAGTTTCATCTTCTAAATGACAATCTTCCGGGTTACATTTAATTCGCATGAACGTTCCACCAGGCTGAGCAACTAATAACGTCGGTGTCCCATCAGCCATATGCTACACAAAAATAAAAAAAAAAATGTATTAGTATTATAAATAAAAATTGAACTGTAAATTGAACTGTAAATTTATTATACCTGTAATGTGACTGTTCCTATTTGATTGGCACATTCCCATTTATTTAATCCTACTAGCTTTCCTCTTCCTAATTCTAGATTACTTGACCATCTGTAAGATCTGACTACACGATCAGTCAAGCCAAGTATCATCTCATTCGCACCATCTTTATCAACATCTGCTACTAAAACCATTTTTGTATTGGTTGGGATTCTTTGTACATGAACACATTCCATTTTACCAGACAATTCATTGACTTCGGTATTGCCATCTATTTGATCCAAACTTGAGGAACTTGTTATGTTAACACCTGTTGCAACATCGACACTTGCATGACCTATGATTTTTATTTCATAATACATGAATTTTAATCCTCTTTAAATTTGGTACAGAATAATTCTCAGCTCACCGTGTTTTGTGCCATCTTGATCAACTGCTTCCTTAATTAATTGTTGACTCGATGTTACATTCGTTATGCTGGGATTGACAGATCTTGGGCTATAATAGATATGGGCCCAACCATCTCCACATATCACGACTAATGCATTTCTTCCATAATTAAAAATATCCCCTATTGCTACGCTAGTTACAAGACCTAACCCAGGTATCTTTTGCCACAGCTCAGACCCCTGTGATTATGGTATTTAGTATAAATTTTGTAATAATTGATTACTTCTTTATTAATAAATAAAGAATTTACTTTAAAAATATAAAGTTCTCCCTCTGCGGTACCGACAACTAATTCATTATCACCATCATTATCGACATCTCCTATTGTTAATCCATATCTACACACAGTGCCAGGTAAATCCCATTGTAGCCTTTTAACAAAACTGACAGCCCTCATCTTTTTATCACCTGATGTTTAATTTTATCCAGCTGATACCTTTGATAAATTCAATGGAAAATTACGATTTGACAAGGAAGGATAAAGATATTGCCAACGGCTAGGTGGCCAAACTATGGAGGTAGCTTTTGCGGTTATTAATCCAACGGAAACTGGTCCAAAAGTATTGGAGTCCATAGAATGACCAATATGATCTCCTTCTACCCAACAATGACCTTCGGGTACCTAATAAGTAAATATGAATACGAACCATTATTGTTTATAAAATTCTGCAAGTAATAATTAATGAGATAAATAACTGAAATACCTCCAGAATGTCGATTTTGTAACCGTGTGTGCGTACAATATCTCCAGAAAGTCCTATAACACGTTTAATCAGAATTTGTTCTGGAATTTTTGGTGATTTAACAGTTATTATTTCACCACGCTGAATATCTTGAGTACGAATTGCTAGACGATTCAAAAACACGTAATCAGGATTCCTTTCGTCTGGATTTAAAGTTGGTTGCATAGAGACTCCTTCAACTTTGGCTACATAGCCAACTTCCTTCATATAAGCAATTCCAATAGGTATGCCTATAAGGATACCCACAATGTGTCGGAATACTGTCATTTATCGCATTTGTGCACTAAAAACAATAAATATATTTCCAAGTTAAACACCCACGAATATACGCAAAACATTTTATTGCATTTATTGATCATAATTTTACAGTAAGGGTTTCGAATTTGTGTCTCAAAATAAGACTTTATATTTCTTTCTCGTTAATACAAAACTATGAGCAACATTTGATGATAATCTTTTATTTATAAATTCAAATAACCTTTTATATAGATCAGCATGCGATGTTTAAAATAAAAGGTTAATTCAGTTTTAAATTTTTCATAACACAAAATTTACGTCAACAAAAATTTCATATTTTACGAAGGATTAAACAACTAACAAATCTTATTGTTTATTTAATTACATATACGAAATAAGTAGGTAATAAGTAGATAACGAAGATAATTTAAATGTGATACTTAAAGGTTAGAAAATCTAAATCTCTATTCACTACATATGTATATATGTAGCCTAAAGGCTGTATATAGTAGCTAATTGTACAAAGTAAATTGTTTTTAATCTTGGTTATTCAATAATACTATTTGTTCTTTGTAAATTATGCAGCGTATCATCATAAAAATTGTTCATATAAAATACATAATTTTATTATAAAAACATTCATGCATTATACAATGCCAGACCTACATATATTTTTAAACAGAAATAAAAAACATGAAATTTGATGTAACAGTATTCTTTATTTCATTAATAACAGTGTCGAAGGTAGCTACTGCTACTAAAATATACAAGCTTAAATATATACTTCGTTATGTAATTAACCGGTATTTTTAATAGTGAACAATATTTCGATAATAATAGTACGATATATACGTAAATGGATGATGTAACTAATCTGTACAAAAAAATTCCTTGGTCATTGATAAATTTATTTATATTAAACTTTTTTTCCATTTAAATATATAGAAACACTTTTAATAGTTCTACAACTAGGAATAATTTCAAAACTGTAACAGGTAATTATTTATAACATTTAGCGTTTTCTTAGTAATAATACATGTTATAAAAAATGCAACAATTCTGCATTATTGACATAAAAATATTGTTAAATATATTCACAATTAATGCTATCTAATTGTATAGACATTCCATAACAACACTAATAACTATTGAAAAATGTACAATTTGAACATTAAAGTATGCTGTTAACATTATTATGGAAGATCATGCAATAAAACTAATCTTTTAATTTTTACACAACACTGAGTGTAATTTCAACCTGTATTTTAATTTTATTCGTGTTTACATAACATCATGAAGTCATACATAAAATGATGAAGAACATTTGTTTTTAATATGTAACTGGATAATTACACATAGGTATGAAAATGACAATACTATATACTAAATGGCTTTGTAAACTACATTATTAAAAAATTCTCATCTAAGTATAACTCGAATACTGCATATAGAATTCCATATAAAATTGAAGAAAATAAATACAAAATGAACAAAAAGAATCATTAAATTGCATAATAAAAGATTCTAAATGGCACTAAACTCAAATAATTGGTATGTGTACAAGCATTATAGATCAGTGCTTGCCAATCATCATATTCAACATAGAATTAATATCAGTGTAATATTAATAATTGTTTAGCACCTATTGACTGTGTTTGAATTCTGTGGTTATCATTGTACAATGACTTTATTGGACATATGCACAATGCACTGCCTCTTACTTGGCCCCTCTGATCAATAAATTTTTGATTCTATGAAATACAAGATATAGTAGGCAATAATCTAATCATGCAATAAATTCGAGTCTTATGAACATATTAGGTCTTTGGCAGTGCTTAACCAATATCCATCCCATTCATGATATTTTTTATCTATTATATTTTACTATAGTTTGTAAATTTTAAAGATTGGTAAACACTGATTTAGTCAAACATCAATTTGTCATTACAATTTTCCTCTTTATTTTGAAATGTCATAGTGTTCAACTTTATTATCCTCAGGCTTTTCGTCGTCTCCTTTTTTGTTTTCCCCTTTGGTTTGTTTTCTGTTTTCTTCCTCTTCTTCTTCACTTTGTTCTACCTCTTCCTCCTCCTCTGCAATTTGTTTCACTTCCTCCTCCTCCTCCTCCTCCTCCTCCTTCTCCTCCTTTTCAATTTGTTTCACTGCCACCTCCCCTTCTGCAGTTTGTTTCATTTCTTTTTCTTCCTCTTCTTTAGTTTCCCTTACTTCTTCTTTCTTTTTTTCTTCAATCTTTTCTATGTCTTTAATTCCTTTTGCTTCTTTTTTTTCTCTTCCTTCGTCATAATCTATTTGCTTTTCTTGTTTATATTCCACATCATCATTACTCCTTTCTTCCTTCACAGGAATTTTTAGTTCTTCTTTTACCCTTTCTGCATATTGTTCCTCTTCATAGACTTTGCTTGTTTGATTTTCAACTTTATCCTTTTTAGTATTTATTTCCCCTTTTCTATCGTTAATTGTTCCAATATTTAGTTCTTTCTCGGTATCTTCTGTATTTAAGGTCGTACCTTCTGCATTCCGTATTTCTTGATCTTCTTCCTCAAATTCCTAGTATAATAAAACAATATTTAGTACCTTTATCTTTGTTGTTCTGTAACATTTATAGTTTCTAAATAGGAGTAACTAAATACTGCAACTAAATGTAAAATGATTTTGTAAATTTAATTAATTTAAATAAATAATATTTACTGATCTTTCAACAAAGTCATAAATTAATTGTAATTATTCGGTTAATGATATATTACCTATGTTAATAATTGCAACAATATAAAGGACAAAATATACATGATATATATATTTTAAGTCAAAGCATATTAGTAACATATTAGTATCAAATTTAACATAAATTAAATATTAATACTGAAAACAAATCACAAATTAATAATTGCTGTAACATACTAGTATTAAGTTCATACAAGTAATTATTTAAAAATAATTTGTACATCTTAAAGAATTCCTGTGATTTGCCATTTCCATGTTAAAAAGTCTGTACAAAAACAAATAATTAAGTGAATGAAAGAATCACCAAATAAAACAAGGCTCCGTAGATTCATTTGATTCTGTTGGTAATTCTAATATTTTCTTACAGGTGCATTTTGGTCGAGACTGATGAGAGAGAGAGTCATTTTGCCTGAAAGTACAACAGGTGCTTCCACATCTTCTTCTGCTTTTTGAGCTTGTGTTTCTGAATCTGTTACAAGTAATTCACATTGCGGAGGAAGTGCACCTTCTAAATATATTGGTTTTGGTGGTGTCTTTTCCCTCTCTATATGACTGAAGAAATACAATACAATCTTATTTGTTAAATATACTATATTTTATTTAAAGTATTTTTCTTACCTTGGTGAAATTGGAATTATAGGAGTAGTTGGTCTACTACCTTTGCCCTCGCAACTAGCTGTCATTTCCATACCCATGACTTTAACAGTTGGTGAATTTTCTATGTTTTCTATTTCTTCATCTGCTGTACTATGTTTAGCCTGGGCACCGGTATTGTCCTGTAAATCAAAATATCTGAATAATGATTTTGTATACTATTTTCGTAAAAGGATAATTACACATTTCTTTATACGATAAATATAATGTATGCTATGAGAACTATATTATAATGGTTAATACTTATAACTCACAAGGGAAGTTCAGGTCCTTTGGGTCACCGATTTAGTTGAAACTTTGCAGGTTTGTAGATTTCGTTATACAGTTCAAGAATATATATCATTGTAGCCGCAATTACTCAATAATTTTTGAAATATTTATGATTAAAGCTTTATTATATTTTTAACTATAGATTTATTTACAAAAATTTTCAAGTGAAGTTGTGGCCAAACAGCGACATTCGAAAATTCCTATGCTGGAGGTGCAGGGTGTTCGATTCCTGTCCATAGTTCGTAGTTTTTTTCAATCTAATTTTGATTTTGTATTCACTCTTCGCCTGTGAAAACATTGTAAATAAACAATTGTAAATAAAATTTCTTAATAAAAAAATTTATTTTATATGCTTATGCTAGTATATATATATATATATATATTACAAAATAATAAGAATATTATGCAAGAAAACACTTTTCTGTAGCAATCTTATTTACTACAGGAAATACAAAACCTACCACTCATGTAAGTATTAATTATTAAATTAAACATCCTATAAGAATGTTGCCTATAATTCTAACTTTGCTGTGCAGCTATAAATGTTCATGAATTAATTGCAAATACTTGGAAATTTATCAATTTTCTATAGCCGAATTGATTTCTAGTATTTAGTTCGAATAAAAATTTTACCGCCTGCGATCACCGCCATCTATGATTCGGGCTCATTTGCTCGGAAAAGTGATAGGAATATAGAATAGGCAAGGAGGTCGTCGAAGTGCTCGTCACGTGACAGACAAGGACAGAGAGGAGATAGACAAGGATAGAATGGTTCCGGCAGTGAAAAATTATTAATTACTCAATTTCTGTAATTAATTTATGAACTTTTATAATTTCGTTGCAAAGCTGGAACTTCA